CCCCACGAGGGGTGAGAAAACAGTTTTTAAATATATATATATATATTAGGGGTGGAACGGTTCATAAAATCCAAGGTTCGGTTCGATTCACGGTTTCGTCGTCATGGTTTTCGGTTCGGTTCGATTGGTATATGTTGATTGTTACACCGAAATCCCATAAAAATTTATGAAATTAATGAAAAAATGCCCCAAAAAATAATGGATTGTAATTATTTTAAATGATCCGCGGAAACCCCGGATCATTTCCGTATGTCTTGCTGCTTTGAATTTAATCATTTCGCGAATGCTCTCTACCATCTCCAAGGGACTCAGAGGGGAGCGGACGGGAGCCACAGTGGGGGCTGTAGGCTTTGCTTTGAGCACCCGGTCTGGAGCGCCGCGGGGCAGAGCGCTGACGGAGTTTGTGGGATTTCGGGGTTAGCATGACATGTTGGTCATGTTGCAATTAGCATAAACAAAACGTGTTGCACAATGCTCGCACACTGTTGCACTTTTATCCACATCTTTCTTTCCGCCGTCATCGTGGGTCACTCTAAATGCAAAGTGGTTCCATACAGCAGACCTATAAAGTGCTGCTGGCGCGTCTTCCAACTCCTGTTCTTTCCCACTCGCCATACCCACACAACAACTGATTTTTTTCCCTGCTACACCCGGCTAAGCTGCTTCGATTCTTCTTCTTCTTGTTTACTACTGGTGGTTGGCTTTGGTCGCAGTACCGCCACCTTCTGCTCTGGACTGTACACGCTTCACCTATTAGAAAAAGGAGCAGCGCATGAACCGAACGAAACACACGCGAATCGAACCGAGACAGTCGAACCGAACGGTTCGGACGGTTTTCATATATCGTCCCATCCCTAATATATATATACATGTGTGTGTTGTCAAAGGCCTTCTCAATGTCAAAGTCTCAAAAATGGGAAACCGTTTGTTACCAATTTAAAATGATTTTATTAATTGGGATGAAAAGTGTCGATGTACCTGAAAAAGAAAATTGGTCGGTTGTTCTGAAATAACAAGATCATTCTTTGTTCATGGTTGTTTTTTCTGAACTAACGCGATAAACGGTAAAGAAAAGAGGAAGGTGGGAAAGAAGTAGCACCCAACTAGCAGGTGTCTTTGCAAAGTTGACAAACTAATAGTGATCACATCTACCTACCTAAGCGACGAGAATTCCCCAGTGTCTCAGTCCTCAATGAAAGTAAAAATTCATAAGTCTCAACAAATCACAGCACGGACAAGATTAACATACATCCTCTATGGAACCACAGTGGCACTGTATCTCTAATTCAGAAAAACAGAGCAATTTCTTTTATTTCTCTGCGATTACAAAATGCTTCCATACTAAAGTAAAAGCCTTCTTCCTGAATACACACAAATCCCTGAAAGCCATTTATTGTGACTTTACTTGTCTTCTTTTTGCAGGCTTGCACTAATTTCAACAACAGCGGCGCATGCGTCACCCAGTGCCCCCAGCCGTTTGTGTACAACCCCACCTCCTTCCAGCTGGAGCCCAATCCCAGAGCCAAGTACACCTATGGAGCTTTTTGCGTCAAGAAATGCCCCCGTAAGTCAAAGGGAGACTAACCGTTTGCTCTGGGTTCATAAAGGTGTTAATTAAGTCTTATTGAAGAAGCACATATTTACCAATCAAGGCTGAAATTAGACTCCAGAGAGTTATTTAGAAGCAAGATGAGTGGCTCTAGCCTAAACAAATGCTGCATCTCAATTAGCTAAGTCACTACACCATCTGCTTCAACTTATGTCACTGGAAAAAGCAAATCTTAGTTCTTTCATTCACCGTTACTGAGGGTCTGGAGTGCAGAGGCAATTAGCTGAGACTGAATTAAAATCAACAGATTGCATATTCAAAATCCACTGATCATTGAATGAGAATGCACGAGACATTGATGTTTCCTTCTAATTATCATCCATTTCTTAGGATCATCAGAGTAATTTCCAGGAATTGTTTTCCTTGTGACTGTTTTGGCGCTGAGGCTGGTGAGGCCAGTATGATCTTATTTCCATTTGCTTCTGGCAGATAACTTTGTGGTGGACCACAGCTCTTGCGTCAGAGCGTGTCCCAGCAACAAGATGGAGGTGGAGGAGAATCGGATCAAAATGTGCATTCCTTGCACTGACATCTGCCCAAAAGGTGAGTCATGTGATCCAAGCTCAGTGTTATTTATTTATTGTTTTGTTCATTTCTTAAATGATCCCAAAATATTAACGTCACCATGATTACACAGCAGAGCTGTGCAGAACAGAGAATATTGCTTTCTGGAAGGTAAAAACACCATAAATGAAGGTCACATGTTTGATCCCAAACATCAGTCAATGTGTTAATTAACAGAAAATAGTCTCCTAATGAGAAATAGGTACCTGCTCAGTGATTACAAGTCGTTATGCCAGAGAAGCACAAGCTAAAAGCGAAAAATGCCTGATGTGGAATTAAACGGCATTAGCTCAACTCAGAAGATTATCCTCTTCATCATATTGTTCTCACAAAGGTAACTGATCTGCCCTTTCTCTTTCAGAGAGGAAGGTAATAATGTTTTCCTTCAGGTACCCGCCGATTGGCTAATCTCCTGATTATATTGTCACGTCACAGGGAACGGGGTTAATGAGGGATAGCCCAAGGAACTGTGGGAAATGATAACAAATTAACATTTCAGATATGGAATTGGCCGGTATAAATCACTATCAAAAAGTGGTTACACCGCTTAATGCCGGCCTTATTCATCATCCTTCCCTCTTTTTTCCACTTGTGTCTGAAACACTTGGCTCGCACTGGACTGCAAGTGTAATTAATGCAGATGTAATGAATTTATTATGTAGAGGGAATGGATGTAGATTGGTCTATGCTTTCATCGTGGGAATTCAAATGCATGGAAAAGGGCCACAGCCTTGCCTGAGCACCAAAAGGACTTTATTTTGATGAAAGGGAATGGGGGGAAAAAATCATTGTGGTAGGGGAGGGTCTAATCATTTCTTTGACGCTATACAAGGACATCTTGGATGTGCTGTGTACTTCATATCAACGTTGACATTATCTGGTTTTGATGCGTGACCTATGTGTTTTCTTCGCCAGTTTGCGACGGCATAGGAACAGGCAGCCTGCAGACGGCTCAAACTGTGGACGCTAGCAACATAGATAAGTTTGTCAATTGCACCAAAATCAACGGCAACCTTATCTTTCTCATCACCGGCATTAAAGGGTGAGCAACAAAATTAAATTTTTTTTCTTTCTTCAGTTCCTAATTAAAAGGAAATTCTTTGTCTTTGTTTTTTTTTTTTCTTCTTGATAACTTTCTTTGAATTGAGACCACATCTGGTTAATGATTAGCAGAAGTTAAATTTGCAAAGTACGACTTATAACTTAAAGCATAACTTATATCTTTTCATCCTAAACATCTCTTTAAAAGCAGGGAGGCTTGTGTTGACGCAATTATTCGACATTTAGGAAGATTATAACAAAGTGGACGTTTTATTGAACTACTGATTGGCGCAAGAGTTGAAAAGCCTTCATATAAAACATAAAAATCTGTCTCAGACTCTACAGACTTTAGTTTCCACAACTGGAATAAGACATAGTGGCTTTAATTTTTCATATGAAGGTTTTTATAACTGTTACCAACAGTTGTGGAATTTACTGTAACTACAGGTCTGTTATGTTCAGCATAAGTACTCCTCCCCTGTTAGGTGAAAAGTAGCATCTAAATGAACTGCAAGTCTGTTGGCACAAGGTCATTTGGATTGACAAGCTAGGCCTTACCTAGAAATGCACAGATCCATTTTTTTTACCGATACAGATACCTGGGCTGAGCATATTGGCCGATATCCAATACCCATCCCATTTTATTGCTGAATGAATATATTTCATATATCATAGCATGTAAGTCAAGACTTAAGCTTTGACATAAACTTTGTTAAAAAAAGATAACTGATAAACAAAGCTATGAATATTCTTTAAATTATGAATTAACACATAAGCAGCAAAAAGGAACAAATAACAGTGCAATGTTAGGTGCACTGGATTCTTCAAATCCGACATCAAATCACCAATATCAGATCTAGCTAATTTAGGCATGTCAAAGTCAGTCCTTAAGGGCCATTTTCCTGCAGGTTTTAGAAGTTTCCCTTCTCCAGCACACCTGATTTTCATTGATACCTGATTACCATGCTTTTGCTGAACTGCAATCATCAGAATCAGTTGTGCTAAAGCAGGTAAACTTCTAAATCCTTAAGGGCAGCCGCCCCTCGACGACTCACTTTGGGCATGTGTGAGCTAGGCAATATCAGAGCCAGTATCCAAACCAGGTGTTAAATAGATGTATCTCTCAGCTTAGATAGAGATGTTTGACCTTAACCTGATAAGAAGGCATATGGGGCTGACAAGAACAAGGTAGAGATGTTTGGCCTTAAGCCGATTGGAAGGCCATTTGGACAGACAAGACCAAGGTAGAGATGTTTGTGGTTAGGCTAATGAGAATGTCATCTGGACTGACAAGAACAAGGTAGAGATGATTGGCCTTAAGCTGATGAGAATGCCATTTAGACAGACAAGACCAAGGCAGAGATGTTTGGTCTGAAACCGATTAGAAGGCCATTTAAACTTACAAGACCAAGGTAGAGAACTTTGGCCATAACCCAATGAGAAGATCATTTAGACAGACAAGACCAAGATAGAGATGTTTGACCTTAACCTAATAAAAGGTCATTTAGACATGCAAGACCAAGGAAGAGATGTTTGGCCTTAGCCTGATGAGAAAGTCATGTGGATAGACAAGACCAAGGTAGAGAATTTGGGCCTTCACCTGACAGTAAGGCTAATCAGACAGAGAAGGCCAAGGTAGGAATGTTTGGCCTTAAGCCGATAGGAAGACCATTTGGACAGACAAGACCAAGGTGGTGATGTTTGGTGTTAGGCCGATAGGAAGGCCATCTGGACTGACAAGACCAAGGCAGAGATGTTTGGTCTTAAGCTGATAAGAAGGTAATTTGGACTGACAGGACTAAGATAGAGATGTTTGGCCTTAACCCGATGAGAATGCCATTTGGAATGAGAATACCCAGGTAGAGATGTTTGGCATTAAGCTGATTGGAAGGCCATTTGGACAGACAAGACCAAGGCAGAGATGTTTGGCCTTAAGTTGATAAGAAGGCCATTTGGACTGATAGGACCAAGATAGAGATGTTTGGCCTTGACCCGATAAGAAGGCCATTTAAAAAGACAAGACCAAGATAGAGATGGTTTTCCTTAACCCGATAAGAAGGCCACTTGGACTTGACAAGGCCACGGTAGAGATATTTGGCCTTAAGCCAATGAGAAGGCCATTTGGACTGTATATACCGAGGTAGAGATATTTTGTCTTAAGCCGATTGGAAGGCCATTTGGACAGACAAGACCAAGGTAGAGATGTTTTGGGTTAGACCAGTGAGGAGGCCATCTGGACTGACAGGACAAAGATAGAGATTTTGGCCTTAACCCAATTAGAAGGCCACTTGGACTGACAAGGCCAAGGTAGAGATGTGTGGCCTTAAAACGATGAGACAGCCATTTAGACAGACAAGACTAAGGTAGAGATGTTTGACCCAAAGCCAGTTAGGATTGGGCTCTGGTTACACTGTAACTGAGGTCAGATTAATAAGTTCAGCCAATAATAAAAGACCGTAAACAAAAGAACTGCCTTTAGTTCAGGAGGTAGTGAAATTGCCAATAAATTGGCAGTATTTCTCATTAGGTGATAGAACAAACCACAACTCCTTCCTGTTATTAAGTAGGCCATGAACTGTAAATGCAAATTAAATGATGTAGGTGATGAACCTTACTTTTAACACTGCATTCTTTACATGCTTAGTTTGTTTTTAATCAAGCTTATGGAAATGGAAACTTACTCTCTGCTTTGGTTGTCATTAGGGACATGTATCATGGCATTGGACCTTTGGACCCGGAGCGTCTTAATGTTTTCCGAACAGTCAAGGAGATCACAGGTGAAACTTTCTTATTGAAAGTTAAATCAGCTGAAGATAACAGTTACCGCATTTAATTTGTGTTCACTGTGTGCATCCTGTATGAGTGTTATATGATGGTTAGACAGACATTCAGTGTGTGGTTGTGTGTTTTATGCATTAGTTGTTAGAGCTCTAAAGGGATGAGTAAAACCTTGCATGCAAACCCCTTTCCGTCATATTAAACTGCAACTTGCTGTTGAGTTTCACAGCTAATGGAGTGAAACAGCATTTTCATTATGAAAACACCAGCAATAAAAAAGAGCAATGGCCTCTCCATCCCCCACCATTTCCCTTTCTATGCTGTTAATGTCATTTCCATAGCTGCTGATTTGATATAATCTGTCATTAAAGGCAAGCACAAATAGAAAAATTGTGCCAAGTATTAAATGCATTCTTTTAATTAGCGCAGGCTGCCTTCTCTTTTTGTTTACAGCAAAAAAAACAATGCAAGTTCCTGAAGCTCTTTTCCATTTCTTTTTTCTAAAGTTAAAGTCAAAGTTGTATTAGATGCCAAACTCCTCCATCTAATGTGTTTTAAGGGTTCCTCAACATCCAGTCCTGGCCTGAAAACATGACGGATTTGAGTGTTTTCTCCAACTTGGCGACCATCGGAGGCAGAGTTCTTTATAGGTAAGATCAGAACATGTACTTGAACATGTAATATGCATGCATAAATGCCCTGGATGAATAAGTGAGGATGCAGGTTATAATGGTTCTTGCTTGATTGCATTACTTACAGCTCGTTGGTAATGAAAATGCAACTTTCCCCAAAAGGATGACTTTCTTGTTTGGACATTTTGATTAGTTCTTGTTTTCTCCACTTACTTCTTGGAAGTGTGTTATATACTACTGGGAAGAATCTTTGTTTCTTCTTAAATGGTGGAAAATTTGTAAGAAAAATGCAGACGCTTTGGGGAATGGAGAGAAGGGAATGTTGTAGTTTGGCCGCACCCAGAAGAGGACGCCACTTGTCACTCTTATGAAAAGCTGTCCACCTAATTGCCATTCCCAAATGTCCCAAAAGGAGTCGGTTGTTATATCATTTCACATTGAATAATAACGATAGGGACAAAAAAAATTTGATTTAGATGGTTATATTGTTAAATTGAAATGCAAGCTCATTCAACCGTGCCTCATGGCTGGGTCGACTTCACTTTTTTTTAAAGGAATTAACTCGGGTTTAGGGTTACTTATAAGAACAAAAAGCCCATTAATTGCATACAAACAGTAGTTTTGTTTTTAAGCAAGGTTTAGATTTTAACCTGTTAACTGTAATGTCTCAAACTCTATGTTTTGCCTTCAAATTTTCGGCAATCTACTGCCAACTTAAGGCTATGTTTTTGGTTTTTTCAACTTATTGAATGTAATGAAATCAAATGTTATTTTTTCAAAGGACATGACATTCTTATTGCTTTCCCAGCAACTAGCCCAAAGAAAAGCATAAGTTGGTGCAGTTTGGAGGTGTTCCCCTTTTCTTTCTTTTTAATTTTCCTTATAGGAAAACTATTGTAAAAGGCTAGTTGTTTTCTTTTTAAATTTTCACCGGATTTAGTTTGAGATATTTTGCAAACAATTGGTCTGTAATTTTAAGAGCCATACACTCAGATATTTTTTTGTCAAATGGTATTCTAAGTGCAGTTTTTTTTTGTTGGTTGATCAAAAATGATGATTTAACATGACAAAACTGTTATGCATTTGACATCCTGAAACCACACCGTCATTGATCAGAAACTACTGTTTTCATGACAGACTCCAAGCTGCCTCCAAGTAGGAAATCCAAGTGATAAAACAACACCTAGTCTTATTAAAGCTTTAACCTCATGTTCTTCCACGTGGTTATTTTCTGTGTCTTTTGTCTTGGTTAGCCAGTATTCTTCTGTGCTTTTTACCATTTTAACTTTCACTCGCAGCGCGGGTGGTATTTCTCTGCTGATCCTGAAGCAGCGCTGGATATCCTCCCTTCACTTCCAGTCGCTAAATGAAATCAGCGCCGGAAATGTCTACATCATGAACAACACCCGCCTCTGCTTCTACAACACCGTCAACTGGACGTCACTGTTTAGGACCCCGGAACAAAAAGTCCTCATGCGCGACAACCAAGACCCAAAGAAGTGCAGTGAGTACCCATGGTCGATTATCAAAGTTTGCAAAAAACTACAACTCAAACAAGGCAAAATATTATTACTCTGATAAAAATTACAACAGAAGGGTATAAATGTGGATTATATTGTGTTCCATTATTGTTGCATTTGACATGTTTTGTTGTGGTGGTCTAGTGGTTAGGGCATAGAGCTTGGTATTCTGAGGTTGTGCGTTCAAAACCCATTCTCACAGACTGCCCCTCTGGGTCTCTGAGCAAGACCGTTAACCCCCGATTGCTCCCCGGGCACCCCATGATTTCAGCCCACTGCTCCCCAGGAGGATGTGTTATATGCAGAGGTAAATTCCTCCAATGTGAGATCTATAAAGTTAAATGGAAATTGAAAAAAAAAACTATACAATTAAGGTCTGCCTGAACGTTAACATCAATTTTATTGATCAAGAGCAAGCGTAATTATTGTATGGAGGACCAACTCTGCCATATTTAAAAATAAATACAGAAATAAATGCTTGGCTATGCCGAGAGAGGGCCGCTGCAGACGGGCTGCCGTTAGACCCGGCTGCCGTGAGGTTCGGAGCTCCGCTGGTTGCTGCGGTCCTCTCAAGTTCGGAACATTTTCTTTTAAATTACGCTTTGAATCTGTGAATCGGCCATATGGTGATGCTTAAAAGTATAAGGTTCTCACCTCAAATAATCTTAAAACATACTTTTATTGAACAACAGCAACAGAAAAGAGAACTTAGATTACACTTAGTACTCTGAGCTCTGTGAGTTAAGAAGATGGACCGCCAACCAATGAGCAGAAGTTGCCTCTTGAGGACGCACCCTCTCTTCATTTGCATAATGAGACAGAAATGCATACAGAAATGTAAAAAGGGCAGGCAGAAATAAAAAGCAGAATCCAGTCTTGTGTGACCTAACCAGAGGGAGGAACTCGTTGGAGGGTGGACAGGTTTTAATTTGGTTGGTTCCTGAGGCACTATGGAGAGGACTGTCACCTGGAATCCAGGAGGTCTTGAACGGAACTTGTGGAGCTTAATCCCCTGCTCGGTGTGAGACTCAAACAATCCTTCCAGGGGAAGAAGGCTAAAAACAACCAGCTTGCAGGATGGCTTCCTGCCAAAAGGCAAAGACAAAAACACAGTTAGAACTCAGAGAAACAAAGACTCAGTTAGACTCAGCTAATCTCTGCTTGGCTAGAGTACCCAAAACTGGCAAACTATCTGGCGTCGAGATTGTGACAGTCCACCGCTTAAGTAGTCCTCAGTGATGAACCAACCAGCCGCAGGTGTGCGAGAGGACCAACGAGAAGATGGCACCACCTAGTGGTGGAGGAAGAGAAAGACACAAAAAACACAACTCACACAAACTGGATTCCTAACACATGGTTCTGGGACGGATCGGGTATTGACGAGCAGCTGCACAAACACCATCTTTTTCATATAACTCTCCCCGCTTTGTCCGGTCCTCCTTATTTAACATGATTTCCACATTCTAATCCCTTTCAACACTGTGGTTTAAACTGAAAAGGTTTAACGTTACTCATTACTATTTTAGTTGGACTGGGCAACACTGCATGATGTCATATATGCCACTTACTCTAAATATATTGCAGGGTAAACAACATGGCAATGCCTGTCTCACAATATCTTTAAGTGTATTAAAACTAAACAGCTTACAGTATTTTTACTTTATTTTTACAACAAAAATAAATATTTCTCAAATAAAGTCTGTGGTTAGAGATAACAAAGGATCACTTTAAGAGCTTGTGAATGTGTGACTCTTTGTAGTTGGGAGGTAACTGGTAAAACCAAATCAAGAGCAGATTTCTTGTGTAAAGGTTTAATTAAAATGCCCTTAAAAGCTAGTTATAATGCATTAATAAATCAAAAGTAGTGTTTGATAACCATTTCTTTTGTGACTGTAAATTTAAATGTATTTCTATTTTGTAAGGTAATTTTGTAAAGCACTTTGTGACCTCTATGTCTGTGAAAAGTGCTGTATAAAAAAAACATTACTTAATTACTTACTTAATAGGTCCAAGACTGGCTTTCTTTATTAATACATTTGTCCTACATTAATCTTTTCTGTTGGACTGATTGTTGTAGTAGGAGAAGTCCCATGAACTTTCTTTTGAAATAATAGCTGTATTTATGAACGCTTTGACCATTTTATAAGTAGAAAGTTAATCAAATTGTTAATAATTTACTCTTTTTAATGACCAAAAGGTAATGCAAATAAAAGAATCTGATGTTTTTTTTCATTATTAATGATTTTTGCATTTTGAACCAAGCCTCCTCTGAAGGAGATACATTCATTGTTGATTGATTTGCCCAAACCAAAGCGATTCAACAATAATAGGGGGGGAAGCTGAGGGCACCTGCTCCTAGCTTTATTAGAGCTAAAGAAAATTGGTTACTTAAATTTGGTTAAAGCATTCTCTGATAAACACCAGCTATAATGAACCTACCTCTCAGAAACTCTGCAGCCAATTAATGTTCATTCAAAGGTTATTAAATTGGTTGCATTTAGAGAGAGGGGTGGTCATAAGAAAATGGTTTGTTTCCAGTCTCTGTATCAATATAGACCACAAATGTGAGAAAGACTAGAGGTCAGAGCCTAAAGCTTTATCTCTACTGAAAAAAAAAGAAAACTAATGGTTTTACTGACTGAACTTCAAATATAAAATCTAAACCTTTGTTACAATATTTGCAACAATAAAAATTCCTTAAACTAAAAAACCAGGAGACTTTCAGACCCCAAGATGTCAGTTCCCTAATGAAGAAGCTTGGACACTGAGCTATAAAGATAACCCTGGTCCTTATTTGTCACAGCTCTATAAACCTTTTAATTGTAAGGAGGGACTGAGATGAATCTGTGCCATAGAAAGCTTGGTTTAGGATTGACGTGTCAGCGAGGTCTGCGTGGCCAAATGACATCATCAGCGCCGTCTATGGGGACGGAGTTCCTGCACTGCATACTTAAGAAAATGTATACCGATGCAGAAGGATCTGTGCAGAAAAATAGCATGAGCAACAGCTCCTACCTGCGACATCCTGTGGTTTAAACCATAAATATCACTGCTATTAACAGATTGGACATCCTTTGAAACCGTTATAAACACCTCAGTTTTTTTACTTCCTCATGTAGTGGCCATTAGCTTGCAGTTTGTGCTGAACCCCACCTAGAATGAAGGAAAAGCCACACAGAGAATAAAAGCTTCAGATGCTGTTACAGGCGGATCAATTTTGTGTTGACGTGCGTCAAACGAGGCCCCGATATAAAGACAAACTAACTCATGACAAGCTTCATTAAGCATTTTGAGTCACATTTATTTTAACCCAAGGGTTAGGAAAGCATATTTATTGTATCGTATATATTAGTAGATTATTTATAGATTTAATTTTGTAATAGTTTGACAGGTAAGATGGTGGAGAAAGAAGGGAAGGAGAGCGACAAAGGTACAGGAAATAAACCCAGAACAGCCGCAGAACCTCCCAGCACCCAGATTTGGAGGATTTCAAATACCAGTGTAGTTGGTTTCTGTAATATCACAACATTTTTCTAACTTAATAAATGTGAACTGACTGTTGCAAAATCAGTTACACACTTTTCGCAAAGGAAAATTCCACTTACTCAACTACACTCAAAAAAATATTTAACCTAAGTTTGAGGAATGATCTAACTTTATTACATAACAAATTCAAATGTTTGTTCTTTAAATAATTTTGACACAAACCTATTAAATAAGCCTTACATCATTCACTTGTATAATAAAGCTTATTTATTTGAAATGCATAATCATCAGGTTTATGTATTTAGTATCACTAACGTATGCTTATCTAAAATGTATACATATGAGTTTATGTCAAATACATAAAGTTTGATTGAATTGCATAAAGGTAACCCTAATTATTATGCAGCAAATAAACTTTGTGTATTAGAAACAAATTCACTCATTCCTATTACATTTAGATAAACTTTAAGTCTAAATACATACACCTGATTATTACGTATTTGTTGTGTTATAATATGAATATTTTATTTTATCAATAAACCATCCTACAGTTAAAAAATAGTTGAACACTTGCACATTTAAAAGTATGAAAGTTTAAAACCATGTGGAAGGTGGTGAAATTCTAAACCATTAAAACTTTTCACTGAAACTTCCAACAAGAATAAAAAAAGTAAATAAATAAAACTCGTTTGAGTCTCCAGACATCAGAACCTGCATTTCCTTGTGGATTTAGGATCAGTTCCAACTATTTTTCCCCTACTTGATTAGATCTATTACTAATTCAAGTTTTTTTTTTCAATAAATAGAGTGTCTTTAACATAAAGAAGGAAAATATACAGTTCCTTGTTTAAGTCTAATCTTAAATCCTTGCAAACACAAAGTCAAACTGATACACCCATGTCCATGGCAGCAGAGTTCATTTCCAGAGTCATCGCTTGGATTTTCAAGGCTGTACTCAGCATTTCTATGACATTAACTCCCTGAGGGGTTCAGCTTCTCCTCAGGCATCACTATTGCTTATATTTCTCACAATTTCTTATTTTTATTTGATAATATCTTTGCTTTCCTGCATAGTTCCAAAAGACGTTGAGTTTTAGTATTTTTAACCCCCTTAAAAATAAATATAATTAATTCGCTTTAAGTTTATTTACACATATACAGGGGCTGGACAATAAAACTGAAACACCTCTCATTTTAGTGTGGGAGGTTTCATGGCTAAATTGGACCAGCCTGGTGGCCAATCTTCATTAATTGCACATTGAACCAATAAGAGCGTGAACGAGCTATATTCAGTTTAATTACAGTTTAAATGAATATTAGATTTAAATAAATTTTAACATTAATGATTTTAAACATTTTTAATTTTTATCAGGACATTTAATTTTACTTTTTTATTATTTATTGTGATTGTTGATATTAAAATCATGTTTTTCATGGAAGGCTCCAAAACTATTCAGCCGGTAAACCCCCCAAAAATCCAACTTCAACAGACCTGTGATCCCATAAAAGTACAAATAATTGCTTTATTTTTGTTTATACATGTTAAATGAAATATTTACACTCATTTGAAAAAATAAATTCATATTTAAATGAATATTCATCATTTAATTCATCCTGTTAACTCTATGTTTGGTTATATAAATAGACATTTCATTATGTATTTGTTCATTTTCAAATTAAATTGCATTTCCAATATTTTAATAAGTAAATCATGCCTTTCATGTATATCTGGATATATTTTTCCCTTCATATTCCTGAGGTATTGCATCACAATAATTGAGAAAAAATTCCCTCGCATTACTAGCCTGACGTAGTCCTACTCAATTCTAGTCAGAATGAGTCTGATACTGCTCCATAGAGCTGTGAAT